CTATAATGATACAAATTTATGACAGTTTATTTAATCATTTACTGAAAAACACTTTGGGCTTCAAAGTTTTGACAATCATAAATAAAGCTACTATAAACATTGGTGTGAAGGTTTTTGTGTAGACATAATTTTCAGATCACTTAGGTCAATACCAAGTAGCATGTTTGCTGGATAGTATGGTAAGAATGTGTCTGGTTTTGCATGAAACTGCCAAGTTGGCTTCAAAGGTGGCTACAATTTTGCCTTCCCACAAGCAATGAATGAGAGTTCCTGTTGCTCCACACCCTTGTCAACGTTTGATACTGCCAACATTTTGGTGCACTAGAAAATGTCTCAATTGGGCCTATTTTTTTTAACTCAGTTTTTTTTTTATTGCTCAGACTAGATAATATCAAATGACATATCTTTAAGTTTGTTGCATCTTCCTCTGGCTCAAATATGATGTTGAGATCCTCTTCTGAATTTTTTATTTCAGCTTCTATGCTTTTAACTCTAGAATTTTGATTTGCTTTTTTATTTTTCTAGCAAATACCATTTCTTTATAGAAATAGTTCTCATACCATCTTTCAGTTTAGTCAGAACTTCCTTTATATCTTTGACCACATTTTAAAAATATCCAGTTGAAGGTTTTTAGTAGAAGCTCACTCTACCTCTTTTCAGTGATTGCTTTATTCTCCTTCCATATATGTCCCATATCTTAATTTTATGTTGAAAACTAGAAATATAACCTATTGGGGGAAATCAGATTCTCCCACCTATCAGGGTTTGCTGTCAATGTTGCTTATTATTTTAGTATTCATTGCTCATTTGTTATTTTGAGCTTTCTGAACTAATCCTACAAATTCTGTATTTTTTGAGGATAGTGGCCACTATAGTCTTTACTCAGGTGGCTTAGTGTCAGCTAATGATTAAAGTTTTCATTCAATGCCTATGATTTATAAATCTTCCAGATTTGCTAAAGGGTGCCTGAGCAAGACTTCAACACTTGGGCAGTTCCCATCTCTGCCTTGGTGTCCACTTATTTCTTGCATAAAGTCTCAGGTTCAGCAAGAGGTGAGATTTAGGGTTTATTCAAGCATTCCCTGGGCATTCAGAGACTTAGATATACATAAAGTACCCACATGCAGCCTTCTCCATTCCCAGAAAATGGAAAATACTTCAAAGCCCTGATGAGCATCTTAATCCTTAGATTTTTTTAAAAAAAAGTTCTGTGATTAAATTATGTTTGGGCCACCTTTCAGCCACTGCCCCAGCCACTGCCCCGGATAGAAATTAAAGGAGTCGCCTACAATTATTTTCAACAAATGTCCACTGGAGAAAATGCTTTTTGCACTGGTGAAGCTCTGAGTCAGTTTCAAATATCAGTAGTATCATAAGTGCAGTTTTCCATGGAGGCCCTATTCAGGAAAAATAGTGACACACTAATAAGCTTATGAATGAAAGGTTTATAAAACATTTCACTATGTAGTGAAACCTTTACTTTCTGGTTTTGGTATTTCTTTGGCATGTAGGAAGATTCAATTTTTTTGCTTTGATGGCTATGCTTATATCTCTTCCCTTCTATAGGTGTTGGTCACTGGTTTTCTAAATTATTGAAATGAGGTGGTCTTTTCTCTTCCCCTTCTTCAGCACCCATTTCAAAACAACAATTTATACAGATTTTCAAAACTTCTGTGTATTGTTATTCTCTTCCACAGATAATTTTCTTTTGCTTTTGTAGGTGATTAAAATAGAAAAAATCTGTTATAAGTCTGAATAAAATAGATGATATCATATATTTCTCATAGGAGTGTCAAATAATGGAATTAATTGGGTGCACTATTTCATATCTTTACCCCTGTGATACTGGGATTTGAACTCAGGGCCCCACACTTGCTAAGCAAACACATTCTCACTTGAACCTCACCTCCAGCCCTTTTTGCCTGTAGATTAGTTTTCAGATAGGGTTTCATATTTTTCCCTGGACCCAGCCTCAGACTGGCATCATATCCTTCCCATATATCTGATATTAAACAACCATGTCTGGGTCATTTAATGAGTTGGAGGTTTCACTAAGTTTTTGCCTAGGCTAAACTTTCTTGCTCCTGAGTAGCTGGGATTACAAGTGTAAGTCACTGCACTCTGCCAATTTTAGAGAAAAAGATTTAGGTGATACTGGGGTTTGAACTCAGGACACTGCTAAGCAAGCACTTTACCACTTGAGCCACCCCTCCAGCCCTTCATAGTTCCTTAAAGAATTACAAATGCACTCTTCTTATACCTTATTTATTCAACACTTAAGTAGTTGTCAGGGAGAAATGAAAACATCTGCTAAAATGGATAAACCATAGTATTTTATATTATAGAACTATATTATCTATATAATAAACATCATAAGCAATGAAAAAATGATAAAACTCTGGCATGAGACCATTTGACATAAATCTCAAAATTACACATTGAATGAAAAATTCCACATTAAAATATTCATGTTATATGAATCTATGTATAGAAAATTCAAGAAAATGAAAGATCTACAAATTAGTAGTTGTTGGAGTTTGAGGTAAAGACACAAGACAAGCTTTGGATGAGTGATGTAAATGTTTCTTACTTGCTTATGGGTACATATAACCATGAAAATACTGAATTTTGAATATACAAGAATACAAGTAAGTAGTTTAGCTATGTATACTATATGTCAGTAAAGGCGATTATACAATTTGGGTTTCATTCTTTCGAGGGCTGCCTGTATTCCTAGATTGCAGCCCTTCAGTCATCTTAGACAAAGACTTGGGTGTTTATTAGGGTCATGGTATCTGTTATTTGTGTCTACAGTACAGTGTGGTTATACAAGCCTAGCTTCTTGGGCCCTATGCCACCACATTTGGTCTGGTGCATGGCTGATGCAAAGGAGAGATGACGAATACTTATAAGTGAGGACACATGCCAGGCCCAGTTCTCTCTGCTTCTGTCTGGAATGTCAACTCCTTGATCCCGGGCTTCCTTGGTAGTCCTCCATTTCAATTTTTGTCTCTTGGGCTGTTTGTCATTTTATAAACTCCTAATAGTGTTGTTTGGACAGGATTTCTTGAGATTTCAACACAAGAGATCTTCAGTTGGTTCACATTTGTGATTTTAAAAAGCTTAGTAAAGATTCTGCTATGTATGGAGGCTCAGAATAAGTTTGAGTGCATTAAACCATGTATAGATTTGAGAATACAATAGAAAATATTTTAACACATATTTTAAAAATGTCTTTCAATGAAAACTTTTCAAGTGTGTGTTGTAGAAATGCCTCTTAATAGATTTATTGGGAAATTATATATATATATATATAAATTTGGATATAAATATTTTATACATTTAACCTATAGTAATGCACAATGTAGTTTTTTTAATACAACAGCTATATATTAAAGAGTTACATTTTAGGACAAAATATATTCAGTAACAAAGCACAATATTTTCTTTGTCTTAATATTTAAAGTATAATGGTAAGTTATCTATATGGTGACTAATCTTGTATTTACACCATTATCAAGATGAAATAATTACTCCAACGAATACTGTCTTTAAAAACTCAAACATAATATTCAACTGCAAAATTATCTTGAAGTAATAAATACTATTAATATTTCAGATACTTGAAGAAATATAATGGGGTGATTATAGGCAGCTTTCAATATCCCACAAAAATTTAATAATGGGATGCTTTTATATTCAACACAACTGTGCTATTTTCCTGCCCCCTCCAGCTCACCAATTTTCTCTATTCCAATTCTGGAATTCACTGTATTTTAAGGAGTTATTTTCCAAGCAATGTTGTTATTCCTAAGTCCTCAGCAGACCTGGCTATACTAGAGAATCTATTTGGCTCCAAAAGAATAAAGTTTCCTTATTTCCAGCAAGAGCAAAACTGGATCCTTCCCTTGAAGTCTACAAAGGAAAGCTTATTATATACATAAAATACAAATTGAAAAAACAAATAATTTATTATAATTAATTATTGAAAATGAAGAGTGCAAAATTTATTGAAATCAATATAAGGGTGAAGAACAGGAAGGTATGATAAAATTGCAGAGATAGAATGATAAGAGTTGGTTATTATTGATAAAATCAATGCAATACCACTTCATACATTATCATCATTTCTACTTCACCTCCATATCAAACTTGGTGGTCTCATAGCCAATTTACTTTATTTTTTCTCCACTTTTCTTCTCCATTTGTTTCTGCTAACAACACAGTGCTCTGATTCCTAAATGACTGACCTAATCCAACCCTTGTTTATCTAACAAGTGTGTTGAATTTTCTCATTCTGAGTAGAATAACAACACAGTGAAATGTAAGTCACTCTTGGCACTAAAAGCCACATAAAGGCTTCTAATAATTTTAAGCATCAAGTTTTCCCTTCAGAAAAAAAGAATTAATTCATCAAAGTAACTGAAAAGGAATTAATCTATTCAGCTCTTTAGAAAAGAATCACTTGTTTTTGAGTTATCTTATCCTGAAAAGATCATTGAGAAGATTCTGTTGGTAATTCATAAAAAGATTTTATTTGTATATACAAGATCAACACTCAAATCTTATCGATAATAGCAAGAAAGTAAATGCCACTCCAAATTACATTTTTTCCAAAATAACACAAAAATGATAGGGATTAATATTTTGGGTATTTTGGCATGTTTGGTTTTTAGCCTGACATTATGAGTAAATCAGTAAGCATTTAAGTATTTCCCACTCTGTAAAGTTCTGCAATATCTTCTCTAGATGATTACAAAGTAACTTAATTACATGGTCTTCACTCTTATGCAAATTATAGAGAAATTGAGGATTAGATTCATACTTGAAATGACAGAAAACAACCTTTAGCAATATGGTAAAAAAAAAAACCAGATGTACATAAAGTAGATACTGAAGGAGGCTAACAATTTTGGAGGAGGTTAAATAAAGAGAGAATTTTTTAATTCTCCACATATGGAGGGTGTGGAATATAAAAACAGTCATGTTTGCTCTGCTCCTCAATGGTACAGTGAGATAAGGAACCTTCTCATGGCTCCCTTCATATCCTTATTTCTCAAAGTGTAGACAAAAGGGTTAAGCATAGGAGTCACCAAACTGTAGAAGAGAGACACGAGTTTGTTCTTGTCCTGGGAGTTAGTAGCAGAAGGCTGTACATACATGATGATCACTGGTCCATAGAAAAGAGACACAACTATAACATGAGAGCCACATGTATGAAAGGCCTTCTTCTTTCCCTCTGAGGAGCGAATCTTAAGCACAGTAGCTACAATGAACCCATAGGAAACAAGGACAAGTGACAAGGGAACCAGGGAATAGAATGTCCCCACAACAGAGAGCATAGCTACATTGAATGTGGTGTCAGCACATGACATCTTGATCATCACGGGGACCTCACAGAGGAAGTTGTCTACTTTATTGTTACCACAGAGTGGCAGCTGGACAGTAAGGGATGACTGAAGCAAGGAGTTAGCCAAGCCACTCATCCATGCCACGGCCACTAGAAGGATGCAGAGTCTCTGGTGCATGATAGCTGAGTACCTCAAGGGCTTGCAGATGGCAGTGAAACGATCCAAGGACATAACTGCTAAGAGGATGCACTCAGTGGCCCCCAAAAAGTGAAACATATAAAACTGGGTAACACACCCCCCATAGCTGATTGATTTGTCTGGGCTTGAAAGGTTTAGCAGGAACTGAGGGATAGTAGTTGTGGTAAAGCACAGGTCCAAAAAGGAGAGATTGGAAAGGAAGAAGTACATAGGGCTGTCAAGCTGAGGATCTACTCTGGATGCCACAATAATTAAGGTATTGCCCACCAGTGTGCAGACATAAGCAACAAGCACCATTATGAAGAGGGGGGTTTGCAACCAAGGATGGTTGGAGAAACCCAAGAGAATAAAGATTTGTGGAGCACTTGCATTTCCAGTATACATGGTTGTTCTGGTTCCTGTTGGTGGATTCAAGTAAAGACTTGTATTTTAGTATTGAATTTCTCTGATGGTCAGCCTATCCAGTTAAATTAAACAAAGTGAGTAATGAAGAGATTTTTGTCTGAGATCTCACTCCACTGAAGTGATACCTGCAAGCATGAATAATTAAGAGTTTAAATAAAAGGTATTATTTTTGTAGTGTCTTTAAAGGAAAGACTAATGAATCTCTATATTTTGCCCAGGAAGCACAATCTAGCACATTTTTATAGAATAATTGTTAGGTAAGTGGAAATGGCAATTGTTCTTAATAGTATACAAGAATAAAATGGATTACTGAATGATTCTAAAGATGTCCAAGAGCCACCCATGCTCACTTTCCACATTTGTTCATTTCTTCCATGGTCTGCTGGCCCTTACCATGTTCTGCTTTCAGTGAGTTCAGAACTTCTAGAGATCCATATTGGTCAGTCTGATTTCCACTGAGGCAACACATTAATGATATTCCTTTAGGTATACTGTCCAAACCGTAGACTAACTTTTGCCAACTTAAACTTTTGTTATAAAACAAAACATGCATATTAAAGAAAATGATCTCTTGAAATACAAGACAAATGATAATTGATTGCAAAGGCCTAGAAAAAAAAGTTCATTAAATGAACCAGCATGTTTCAGCACAGTATGAAGTACATTACTGCTTTTGAGACTGTGGGCTGCTATAATGCACTTTTGCAATCACATGATATTTCATCACTTTATTTTATTTATTTACAACACGAATGTGAGCATATGCCTGTTTCTGTGACCTGAGTCATGATGTAAAATGGATTTCTTAATTTAGATAATGGTAAAGAGTTTAATAATAACAAGTTTAATGCAAGTGTAATAGAACACAGGATATGAAATCCATAAACATGGATCTGGTCCACTGCTAATAATTAATATAGATAACTTTTAGGCATCACATAACCATTTGCAATCTTCCTTGCTGAACTTCCTCAGAGAATTAATTAGTCCAATATGTGTGGCCACTCTTTCATAACTGTAATACTTACTGTTGGGTTAGATATTTTCATGAAATAGAGTGTTATGTTGAATAGAATGAATGTTTCATGAGCAGAATGTTATCAACCTTTATCAGTAGAAACAATTTTTCTTCTAGTTTTATTTAAATATTAACAGTGGTCTCATCCTCATAGAAGAAATCTCAGCAGGATTGAATTTTCTTCTTTTCCATTTCTTTAAGTTAGTCAGAATTTGACATTAATGCCTTCTAGAGTTTCATACCAGCACACATTTGCTTTAGTTAATATAAGTGCCCCCTAATGCAAACAGTTCCCCTAGATTATTTTTAAATTGCTTTTCATGCATTAAATTATATATTATGTTTATCAGTATTGAAAGGTGTTAATTCACTTACACATTTTCTAATATGCAAATATTCACAGAGGTCACAAATTGCATGGAGTTATGCAAAGATTAAGTCCACCAGCTGAAAAGAACATTCCCACCCATATGAACCACCTACCTTAAATCAGCGTTCATGTTCTGTAGAGGCATCCCATTTTCTTGTTAAAAAAAAAAAAGAAAATTGATCTTTTCTTTTCTTCAGAGTTCATATCAACCTAGAATAATGATTTCCTTAATTTAATGGTTTTCTCTCATATCATACATCCTAATTTATTTTAGTTGAAGGACCCGTACATTTTGAAGTGAGGAAACATTTTACTCTAAAGTAATAGTTAGGAAGGATTCTCTGTTTACAAAGCTGTGGGACTTTATTCTCCATATAGGTAATAAATCTCAGTGGAAATTTCAAGGCAAAAGACATAGAAATTCCCTAGTGGTTGTAATTCCTTCTAGAGTTCTTGTCCCCATAAATTGAAATGATGAATTTGGGTACCTGTTATGAGGAATGGACTCAGGACTAAAGATTCCCAGAAATTTCTATGTGTTTCCTTAAGTTCATAGATAATTTCCTTGAATCATCAGAGAAAGGTTAAGACAATTATTTCTGGTGTTGAGATCCAATTTTCTTTTATTTATGTTTTTTTCAATATATTGTTCTCCAGATTCCTGATATACTAATAGCATAGTAATTCTAGTTCTTTATAATTTGGAGAGACAGTCAACTTGCAATATGATTTTTTCGGTGGCATTGGGGTTTGTCAGAGCCTTGTGCATAAATATATACATACACACATGAAGTTTTGCACATTATATAAAATTACGTAAATTGTGTATGTATATATACATACGTACATATATGAAAAAGGGTAAGGATACCTATGAAGCTAAAGGAGTAGACTGTGGAGGAGACTGTTAGCTGTCATGCCACAATTATCTTCCCTTCTTACACTAATAGAAATTTTAGCTATATACACTACTGTTAAGAAAAAAAAAAGCCAGATAACCTTTTTCCAACTTTTCATGAATCCAGTGTTGACCATGTGCCTAATTTTTGGTCAATAGTACAAATGTGAATGAATGTACAACTAGGCAGTATCATGGAAACTTCCTATAGCAATTGTTGACTTTTCTTTTTGTTCTTCCTCTATACAATTAGCTAGGACATGACTGATGGCTTGGACAAACAATGGAGTCACCATCTTATGACCAATGAAATGTTTCTCTTCCAGAGGACTATATGCAGCAAAGTCAACTAAGCATTTGCCTTTGGGTTGACTTTTAAGTCAAACGGTAAGATACATCCCTATATTTTAAATGCACTATTACTTAAGCAACAATTGTGTCTATACCTAATTCTACCCAATATCTTACCTCCACAGCACACAAAGATGTGTTTATGGTTGAAGAAATGGAGAGATGGAGAAAACTTGGAATTACTAAATTAACTACAGTCTCTTAGGTGGAGGAACTAAGGAATTTCAATAGTATAGAGAAGGAGGAAACTAGGACTCCACATTGAATTAGTACTCTGAAATATTATAAAATAATATTGGGTAATGCAAGAATGTAGAAATTATTTTTTTAAATGCTTAAATAATCTTGGAATTAAAGCACCAAAGGGATTTCCAATAAATAATGGCCATATATTGGAAAATTTGGATATTAAAATAAAGTATAAAAGTTGAATGAAATAGGAATTTATGGTTAGATTTTTTGAGGAATCTCCATACTGTTTTCCATAGTGGTTATACTAGTACATTCCCACCAGCAGTGTATAAGGGTTCTTTTTTGCTGCATCCTCACCAGCACTTGTTGTTTTTATTGCCCTTGATGATGGTCATTCTAACTGGGGTGAGATGAAATCTAAGTGTTGTTTTGATTTGCATCTGCTTTATAACTAGGGGCGTTGAACACTTCTTCATATATTTACTGGCCATGTGTACCTCTTCTTTGAGAATTCCCTGTTTAGTTCATGTGCCCATTTTTTCATTGGGATGTTGATTCTTTGGGGCTTGAGTTTTTTGAGTTCCTTGTACGTTGTGGATATTAGTCCCTTATAGGATGAGAAGCTGGAAAAGATTTTCTTCCATTCTGTGGACTGTTGCTCGAGTCTAGTGACTGTTTCCTTTGCCGTGCAGAAACTCTTGTTTGATGCAGCCCCATTTGTTCATTCTTTCTCTTAGATGCTGAGTCTTTTGAGTTGTACTTTAGATGTCACTCCCTACACCTACATGTTCCAGTCTATTTCCTCCAACTTCCTAGAGCTGTTTCAAAGTTTCAGGCCTTATATTAAAGTCTTTGATCTGCTTTGAGTTGATTTTGGTACAGGATGAAAGACAGGGATCTAGTTTCAGTCTTCTACATGTGGATGTCCAGTTTTCCAAGCAACATTTATTAAAGAGACTGTTTTTTCTTCATTTGTGTTTTGGACTCCTTTGTTGAATATCGGTGGCTATAGATACTTGGGTTTATGTTTGGGTCTTCTATTCTGATCCATTGGTCTTCATATCTGTTTTGTGCCAATACCATGCTGTTTTTTATTGCTCTGTAATGTTGTTTTTTTATGGCTCTGTAATATAGTTTGAAGTCAGGTATTGTGATGCCTCCAGCATTGGATTTTTTGCTCAAAATTTCTTTGGCTATTTGAGGTCTTTTGTGTTTCCATATGTCTTTTAGGATTGATTTTTCTATTTCTGTGCAGAATGTCCTTGGAATTTTGGTAAGGACTGTGTTGAACATGTAGGACTGCCTTATGATCCAGTGATACCACTCCTGGGTATCTACCCAAAGGAATGTAAGTCAAGATTCAATAGAGACACCTGTACACCAACATTCATTGCAGCACTAATCACAATAGTCAAACTATGGAAACAGCTCAGGTGCCCTACAACTGATGAATGGATCAAGAAAATGTGGCATACATACACAATGGAGCTTTGCACAGCCATAAGGAATAATGGCATGTGGTTTGAAGGTAAATGGATGCAATTGGAGGACATCATGTTAAATGAAGTAAGCCAGGCTCAGAAAGACAAAGGCCACATGTTTTCTCTCATTTGTGGTTGATAGATCCAAAAGACAAAACACACACACAAAAATAAGAATGATCATATACAAACTCATATGTAGAATATGTTTGTAATAGTGGAACTACTCTGTGGAACTCGGGGAAAGAAGGAAAGGAAAAGAGAATGATAAGCCTCAGTAATATCATAAAACATAACATCTGTGAAGGTAGAGAATATAAGCATATGTATTGAAAGTCATTGAAAAATGAGGGGTAGGAGATAAAGGGGTAACAGAGAGTAATGGAAGGGGTCCAATGGACCAAAGTAAAGTATACCCATATCAGGGATACATTGAGAAACCCCTTTGAACATCTAGTTAAATATTCATAATGAAAGAACAATAAAATAGATATGATGTGGGGGGTACTAGTGGGAAGGAGGAGGGATAATGAAAGAGATTAAGGTGAGAGTATATGGTTGATGGACTTCGTATACCTACATGAAACAAAACAAAGAAACCTCTTGCAATTGCTTTAAGTGGGGCAGGGAGGCAAGGGAGAGACGATGGGGGTGATATAACTAATGTAC